GCTGTTGCACATTGAGTAGATACTTTCAGAGAACTATCCTCAGTGACTTCTGAGAACTCTTTCTTGAATGTCGAAGTCAGACACACAGGACTCACAGATTTGTCAGACTGCTCTGTTTATTAGCAAAGCCGCTCTGCTAATACACCCAGAAAATGTGAGTACCATGCAAGGCTCAAACCCCTTTGATTTAGACAGTCAAAAGAAAGCCAACTTAACAAGATTAAAAGGTGGCAAAACTTCATATAATTAGTATGAGACTAGTCAAGTATCTTCATTTCCACATCAAGCACACAGCAATCTCCTGTCCATATCTCTCTGGCTACCTCAATTACTTTCTACCTAACACCTAATGTTCCTTTTCCTGTTATCCTAGGCTCACCTGGCTTCATTCTGATCTGCATACTTACAAACATAATCATCTCTTTCCTGTTGAAAGACAAACAGTATTCTTTTAACTTAGTATAATTCATTTTTGTCTCACAAAATAATTCTTTCTACTTTCACAATGATAACAGCTAATTTAAACCCTATCAGTTGGGATTGTTTTCCAATCTACATTACTTTGCAGTTAACTTTGAATTTCATCTGCCTTTTTGTTTTCCAGTCACCTAGTTTTGTGAGATCCCTTTGCAATTCTTCATAGTCTGCTTTGGACTGAACTGATTTGAGTATATTTACGGGAAGTCCCTGATTGACAAACAGGTTGCATTCATTTGTAAGTTGGTTGTTGGGAACTTGAAATGCATTTTCCCATAGAAACAATGTTATAAATTATCTATGGTAGTTAGGGTCCCAGGCTAGCCCATAAAAGCCTATTTAACCCATAATGCAGCTGAAATAGTATATATTTACAAAGAAAAAAAATAGAAATAGTTTTTTAATTTAATCTTGAATACTGGTGCTTGAGGAAGGCTATGTTTAATTAGAAGAAGATGAGAGGTAGGTAGAGATTCTGAAGGGGACTTCTGGGCATCCTTTGGCTGCTACCCTCTATTGGCTCTGCACCAGCTCCGTTAGCTAGCCCAATCCCCCACCCTCCTCGCTTGCTTCCTTGCTGGCTTCACCCAGCCATTGTTCACCAGGCAAGTGTGGCAGGGAGGACTCCAGAGGAGCAGGAGGCAGCCAGACACTGGAAAAAAGACACTTCTCTTGAGCCACCATCTGCACAACCACCCCCTGCTCCCCAGAGGGTTGGGGCTTCCTTCCCCTAAGCAGAATATTCAGCTGCATAGGGCATCTGAAAATTTGGAGCAGCACAAGGCCTTAATGGCCACTCACCTCTTCCTATACCTGTTCTGTGGCTCTGCATCATCTGGAAAGGATCTAATTAACTTAAAAGTGAAAAGATTTATTAGCAGAGCATTGAACCTCTGAAAGAGTCATTCAAGTGGCAATGAAGCCATTTAACAGGTTTTTGCCAACCCCAAGTATAGACTGTCAGTTTCTGAATTTACTGTTAGTTGACAGGACCTTAGTTTAAAATTTGCTTTAAAAATATTACATTTGTGTGTTGCTCAAGATTATAATATCACATCTCTTTAAAAAACTGCAATTCCTTGCCACCTCCTCCGAGGCTGCCATTGGGAATTAGGTGCTAATTTAATAATTCTGCATAGGGCCCCATAAATCCTAAGGATGCCACTGACTGAGGATGCAGCTGAGCTTTGTCTTTATGTGCGGAGGTTTGTTAGTTGGATGTTTGGAGCCTGAGGTGCTTTCCTGTAAATCATTTGCAGATTTTTGCCATTTCTCTGTTTACTCCTTTTTTCATATGGTTTATGAATATGTTGAACATCACTAGTCCTGGTACAGATTCCTGGGACACAGCACTATTTACCTCTTTCAAGTGTGAATATTGGCCACTTATTCCTATTCTTTCTATCCTGTCTTTAAAGTTACTGATCCATGAGAGGACTTCCCTCTTACCTCATGACAGCTGACTTTGCTTAAGAGCCTATAGCAGGGGTCTCCAACCTTTTTAAGCACGAGATCACTTTTTGAACTTAAGTGCAATCCAGGATCTACCTCAAACCCAAATACCGTTGCCCCGCCTCCTTCATGCCCCTTCTACGAGGCCCTGCCCCTGCTCACTCCATCCTCCCATTCTCCCTCCCTTTCACCAGGCTGGGGAAGAGGGTTGGGGCACAGGCTCTGGACTTGGGCTAAGGGATTTGGAGTATGAAGAGGCTCTGAGCTGAGCCTGGGGCAGGGAGTTGGGGTGCAAGAGGGAGTTTGGGGTGCAGGTTCTGTAAGGGAGTTTGGGTCTGGGGGGCTCAGGGCAGGGGCTTGGGGTGTACAGGAGGGTACATGACTGGGACAGGGGTTCAAAGCTGGCTCCAGCTGGACACTGCTTACCACAGGTGTCTCCTGGTTGGTAGTGCAGTGGGGCCCTGGCCCTGCACCACTCTCAAAAGCATCCAGCAAACTCCTTCCATCCCAGGCCCTGACCTCCCTTCCTCCTGTTCTGTGGAGATAGAATACAGGGTGGAAGAAGGGGCACCCTGACATCAGCAATCCTCCTCTCCCTTCCCTGCTCTCTACGGGTATGTCTGGACTACATGGCTCTGTCGATGGAGCCATGTAAAATAGTTTACTCAGCATAGTCAAAGAAGCGGGGATTTAAATAATCCCCACTTCATTAAAATAAAAATGGCCACTGCACTGTGCTGACGATCAGCTGATCCGGCACAGCGCGGCTATCTAGACACCTTTCTCCATCGACGGAGCCATGTAAACTAGTTTACCCGGCATAGACAAAGAAGCAGGGATTTAAATAATCCCCATTTCATTAAAATAAACGTGGCCGTCGTGATGTTCCAATGATCACCTGATCCGGCACAGCGTGGCAATCTAGACGTGGATTTGTCGGCTGGGGAAGCCTTTGCTGACCAATCCTGTAAATCTCATTTCACGAGGCATAAGGGATCAGTTGGCAAAGGCTTCCCCAGCCAACAGATCCGTGTTTAGACTGCCTCTCTGTGCTGGATCAGGTGATCGTCGGCAGATCATACTGGCCATGTTTATTTTAGTGAAGTGGGGATTATTTAAATCCCCGCTTCTTTGACTATGCCGAGTAAACTATTTTACATGGCTCCGTTGACGGAGTCATGTAGTGTAGATGTACTCTACCAGCTGGAGGAAGCCCCAGAGGCACAAGGGTAACTGAGTGCCGTCCCTGAGAAAACGTGCTCTGAGACTGGAAGCCCAGACATGGGGAGGGTGTGTGAAGGAGGAGGTAGAACTTGCTGAAACCTGGGACCGCTGGGTTGGGCAAAGGAAGCCACTCTGGCTGGTGTGGGTGAGGTGGTTCAGTGGAGAGGGGTACATGGACTTTAGCCCCCCTGGGTAGGGAATGCAGTAGAGGTTGGTCTCTGCAGGCACCTGCTGTTCTGTCCTGGCTCTGCAGACCTGGGGGCTGCGCTTAGTGGGGTGCTGACTTGCTAACCCCATCTCCCCTCCAGCCTCTGTTGAAGATCAGGACAAAGTGTGACAGTTAGGCTGTGTCCAGACTCCATGCCTCCGTCGACGGAGGCATGTAGATTAGCCAGCTCGGAAGAGGGAAATGAAGCCGCGATTAAAATAATCGCGGCTTCATTTAAATTTAAATGGCTGCCCCGATCTGCCGATCAGCTGTTTGTCGGCAGATCGGGAGAGTCTGGACGCGATGCCCCGACAAAGAAGCCTTTCTTCATCGACACAGGTAAGCCT